CTCGATCATTACTTCCAATTAATAAGAGCGTGAAAGCAGTCAAACCTTTCAGCAAGCATACTTCAGCTGACACAGAACTTTACCAATTAGAATAAAAACCGTTAGAATCCACAGACCTTTGGCAATAACGTGCAAATTTTCTTATTTTAGCGCGATACACTATGAAAGTTTTAATTTTAAATGAACTTAAAATTAAAATTACAGCATGTGAAAGTTACCACTTTTAACCGCAATGATGCTGCAATATTTGCAAAACTCCGGAGCACAGGTGTCTGCGGTGGGTATCGAACATGCTATTACCCTTTCCGGGAGGTGACGCGTTCACCACCACACCATGCGAGTCCTTCGTTTCGTCTTTTCCTCAGCCGTCTTATTGAACTATAGGTGTTATCAACAATCACCCGTCAACGGGATTGATCTAGGGAGCACAAATCGGCATTGAGCCTAGTTAAGCTGGAGTTGTGGTATAAATCACAATCTCGTAACTTTTTATTTACTCCATACACATTTTTTTCACAGACATACCACAGACAGCCGTTCAGAGTTTTGCAAATATTTCAGCATCATTACTGTTATATTTCACACTATACCCTGCCATTAAAAAAAGAGTAGGCAGTAAATAGTGACAAGATAATGATTTATGCCACAGCTTCGGCTTAAGTGGGTTCAATGCCGATTTGTGCTCCCAGATCAATACCGTTGAGACGTGATTGCTGAGAGCTCCTATAGGTCAACAACACGTTTGAAAGAAAGGCGAAACGAAGGACGATTATGGTGTGGTGGTGAACACGTTAGTCCCTGGAAATGGTAATATCATGTTCGGTCCTCACCGCAGACACCAGCGGTCCGGAGTTCTACAAATATCTCAGCACCATTAAAGTTTATTTCATATAATACCCTGCCATTAAAAAAAGAGTAGGGAGTAAATAAAAAGCGACGAGATTACCACTTTTATTTAGAGTGCTACAGCAAAGTCCCTTCCACAAATAAGTGAAATCATCATCTTCATAAGTCCCCAGTTACCGAAAAATAATGAAAATTAATAGAAAACTAGCATTGTCCACATGTACGTATGGCATGGAAAGTCCCAAAGGTTTATCGCCTCATTGAGTCCGGGATTTATTCCTGGGTGTCGGTTGACATTTCCATCTGGAAGCTCGTCCAAGAGTAAACGAAAACCAGGAATCACCGCTGTCCTGGTATCAAAATAGTTACGACGTGGCAAAACCCCCTCTGATTCACGAGAGCTAGTGAAAGCCAGTGGGAGGGAATCAAGTCATGGATTGAATGCGACGTTATTGAAATCGGAACAAACGAACACCTTCACGACAATCCATGGAGACAACTAGCTCTCGTGAATCTTGTTCAAAATCCATAACACCAAAACAGCCTCTTCAAGCGTCGATTAGTACACTCTCCTTGAGGCCGGTGGTCGCATGAACTTTCATGAGATCGGCCTACAAGGGAAGAAAAGTAGTAAGAGCAACATACGCCAATTAGATGACGAGTCTCTTGTCATTCGTGGACCAGAATTTATGTTACGAAAATGTTGGCGTTGGCTTTGTCATACACTCATACATTCCCTATCTATCACCTCGTACGGAATCCTATTACCTCACTTGGCCATTCTTTGTCACCAACTTCCACATTAGAAGATTAGTATCATCAACTGTTATTCACTAACTTCTACAGCCGATGAGTGCGAATTGGACGCCTTCTGCAGCTTGCTGAAGAAAGTAATCCGTAACGAAAAGTCCTACATATTTGTTGCTGGAGACTTCAACGATAGATTAGGAACGGCCTACGAAAATGAACACAGGATAGGGAAGCTCGGAATAGGAAAACGAAATGTGAATGGAGAGAGTCCTGTAGGACTCTTGTCCGCAGCATGTCTCTACCATGGAAATTCATTTTTTTGAAAACAGAGGAAGTGGTCGATGGAAATCGGAGTCTCCTAAAGGCATGACTCACACAGAAATCGATTATATTGTCACGAACAGAAAATAGTGCCTCTCTGACACCTCAGCTTGGATTGTATTTGGATTCTGTACTGGCTCTGATCGCCTCCTTCGTGCGAGGATTCAATTCAGCCGTAAGCTAGAAAACAACTCCTGTCATCATCCAAGAAAAATCCTCTTCAATTGATTGGTAGATAAATGAAGAGTCTACCAAGGATTACATATTGCTTGTTCAAAGACTTAAAACTTGTAGCGAACTCATCTCAGTTTTTCAAACAAGTTCAAACCGCATTTCCATTACCACTAAAGAGTTGTACGAAAAGACAAGGAAACTGCAGCTTGATCCAGCTGGAACACACCTAACAAGGCTGATAATAAAAGCCAGCTATAGAAGACCTGTAGGAAGATTTACTTCGGGTAGGTAGAAAAATCTATTTGAAGCGGCTCAAAAACGATCTAGCCTGGAGAGATGCCGCCGGGATTTCTGCAACTATAATGTTGCACGACTCGCCCTTGTAAAAAGTTGCGACTATTACTACATCACGCCGTGATACGGAAATGATAGCGGAAAAATTCCGTACTAATCTTCTCTGTTCCATAATCTCCATCTCGAACCAAGAAAGTCCGGTGGAGAAAACCACTCTCTGAAGCTCGAGTTACAATGGAAAGGAAAAGTAAAGCTCTAGCACCCGATAACACTACTGCCAACTTCCTTAAGACTGGGGGCCAAAAATTACATGTACTTCTTGCAACTCATATGACATCTTATCTTCAGAAGGGGAAAATCTCAGACTAGTGTGGAGTACGTTGCGCCCGGAAGTTGACAGTAGTGTTATCGAGTGACCGAAGGCGTCCTCGTAACTACTGTCCGATACGCTCATTGAATGGTACTGTTGAATGCCCAATCATAGCCACAAGAAAAGAAATCCGATAAGGCGATACAACATCGCCAAAGCCCTTACTACCAATCCACAGTGCATAATGAAATCACTCGAATGAGACGACGAAAGGATGTGTACTAATGGGAATCTACCAAATTTTCGTTTCGCCGACAAAATCATCATCCCTTCGAGGAGTACCAGTGAAGCAGGGACGATCCTCAGTGAAATACAACCACAACGTTGCTGAGATATTTGCAAAACTCTGGACCGCAGGTGTATATGGTGGGGAACGAACGCGCTATTATCCTTTTCGGGGAGTAACGCGTTCACCACCGCACCATGCGGGTCCTTCGTTTCGCATGTCTCTCAGCTATTTCTATCGATCTTTTTGCCACAGCAATCACCCGTCAGCGGGGTTGATCTGGGGAGGAAGGACCCGCATGGTGTGGTGCTGAACGCGTTACTCCCCCACGAACGACGTTTTCTGATTTTCTTCGTTTTCTGAAATTGTTTTTTCAGGATGTTTTCTGAAATTTAACAGGCACCGCAATGTCTAGTCTGACTGCGCAACTCAGATGTCTGAAGGCTAACTCATCTTCAGGAATTCGGAGAATATTCATCGATAGCGAAACACAGATGGGTCACATAATAAGAACAAATGAAAGATAGAGTAAAAGAACAGTGGGGTAAGTCTCAGCAGAACATTAACGTTCTCTTGGACAGCGAGCCAAACGATGAGCGAACGTTTTCGTCGCTAATGTCAACCCTGTGCATTCGCAACGATTTGATGACTACTGAATAGGCTTTGAGGACGTCATCCTGCATGAGTAAGTAACTAGCACATCGTAGCAACGTGCTACTGCTAGTTGTATAGAACGAAGCCTCTTCCATTACTCTGAGATATTCTCAATTATTCTCAATCCCATTAGCCTTCTAGCTGTCGATAAATTAATGGTTTATTATCGAAAAAACCAGCAATTGCTGTGCTTGAATTGCGAATGTATTCAATGTTTTTCCCTCTGGTCTTTGCAAAACCAGCTACGGTCGCCAATAGGTTTCGCGGCCTACCTATGGACTCAGAACGATGTCGACGTTAGGCCAAATAAAGGTGTAGAAACGCAGATGGAAAAACTTATGGATTTCTCGTTAAACTATTCCTCTGTCACGAAAATGAGACTCTTTTAGCGCTTGTGGTGAGGAAGTACAACTAATTTTTGCCAGAATTCAATCTGCAGTATACAATCAGTAAGTGAAACTAGAGAATCCATCCTCGAATTAACTGAGAGCCATTCTAAAAAGTGGGCGCGTATGGCGCAGTGGTCGTAGGCGCCCTGCAACACTGGAATCGATCCCCACGTCCATGGCCGACCAAGCCTTCCATCCATCCAACGTCGGCATATTGGTACCGGACTTGCCTGGGAGGATAGCAGCACTAGCTCGATACATCGGTAGGCCACCGGGAATCAGTGTAAGAGCCAGATATGCATTCAATCACCTCCAAACGATGCTTAATGAAGTCGAATGCATGGCGCATCCCTCAAGGATTGATCAATGGCGAGAGCCTTATCCTTATTTATACACTCTAAAAACTTAAGCGACCTTTGGGAGGATTTTCAGGGAACGATATTCTAAAGTTAACTTGGCTAGTCATTAGACTACTGCGAGAGCAAACCACCACTTGTATCAATTGATAAGCTTAATGAATTGATCACCTAAAGCGCATGACAAAAAAATCAACAGAGTATTTACAGAAAATGTACACAATGTAGAAGAACCTTTTCATGAGAAGAAGCTGTGAAATGTGGAATAAAGAAGTCAGACCTGCTGGATTCTCCACAATTTTCACGACAGATACAAAGGGGCTGCACCAGGTGAAGAGCAGGCACCGTCCCAGCAGGAAGTGTAGTTAATGCGCTCCAGCTTAGTGTGCAATGCCGGCCTTCAAAATCGGGAACGTTCGCGAAATGTGGCAATCGCACCGAAGGCGTGACTTGCATTCCTGTTAGGGGCATTTGTTGCTCTTGTTTTCCATTTTCACTCCTTATCACCTGTTCTTCTATTCAGGCTTTTCTCCCTTTTCTGTCATTCCAGGTGTGCCTTAGCGGGCTTGGAACATAGTTTTGAGAAGTCGTTGAAATGGGTATTTTCCAGGCTTTTCTAGAGGTGCCATCGATTCTGGTGCAATTACTTGGAACTCTCTGATGAGAAGATGGTGAAGGAGACGAAGTACTACGACGTTCTTGGCGTTCAACCAAATGCAACCGATAGCGAACTCAAAAAAGCGTACAGAAAATTGGCGCTAAAATATCATCCAGATAAGAACCCAGAGGGAGGAGAACAATTCAAGCTTATATCACAGGTGGCGTACGTTCCTGAGCTTTGATTGTGTCCGCTATAAATTTTTCATTTGCACTCATGTGACTTCAGCATGTGTGCCCTAAAAAACAGCTTTTAGTTAAGTATCCTGTAAATGGAGTAATCTTCTGTTGGTTATTAGATGTGGGCATTAGTCGGAACAAATGGACCTACTGTTTTGTCGAATATTTGGTGTCTGTACGTCCTTTCTGATTTCAGTGATAGATTTTGTATATGGTATTTGGATGTCCGATCCTCACGAAAAATCGTTTTGGTCATATAGTCTCCAGCACATTTTTTTCATAGTAATGTTTAATGGGTTTGACATGGTTTCTTTCTGATGTCTGGTCGCAGAATTAGGACATTCTTAGTCGTCGCCACAGTCGCTTAGCTTTGTTTTTATGGAAGGCAGCTTTTTCTTTTAGCGAGAGTACTTTTAGCGTTGATTTTCTTTAATTGGAATTGAAGATTTAGCCATGAGTGCTTGGGTAGGCCTTCAGGAATGCGAACCGCCCAGCAGCACGCGTTGCATTTCGTCTGCATCCAAGAAGACAACTATGATCAGTGAACCGTTGGGGTGGTGTAAATTTGTTAACTTTTAGTAGCCTTGGAAATCAATTTCGTAGATATTTCATGACTCAAATTTCCGCAGATGATGTTATGTTTCTTTGGACCGTAAGTCCTGGTGTTATTATCTTGAATTTTGTTCCATTCATTTGCTAACAGGACATAAGGAAGACTTATACAAGCATTGACAAGAGGACAGGCGAAAGTTTTGTTCTAAAAGAGTGCAGTTTTTTGGTAAATGCTGCAAAGCATTAATTGTCACCGTTCATTTTTGCTGACCTAAGGTTACAATATCAACTTTTGTCCTTCTAATTTAGGCATACGAGGTACTATCTGATGAAAAGAAGCGACAGATATATGACCAAGGTGGAGAGGAAGCACTTCAAGGAGGAGGTGGTGCTGGTGCGGAGTTCCACAATCCATTTGATGTATTCGACATGTTCTTTGGTGGAGGTACTTCATGTTCTCTGAGCATTTTAAAGGAGTCTTGATTAAACTCAAACGCATCAAATTTTGGCGTCGCAATCATGCACTTTCCTAACATAGGTGGTTGAATGTGTCGTGCTTAATAAAGTTTGGTTATCTTCTTTTGGCGCTCGTAACATTCTGTGCCATCGATAACTATAAATCGCATGTAAGAGTAGTGGTTGTGAAGTACTAAAGTTCGTAATTGACTTCTTAAAGTGGAAATATTTATTCCATGGAACTGGGCAGATCTGCAAACTTAAAGTTTACAAATATGTTACCTGCACTTTGTGATATATGTGCTTTTCACAATTTTCGCCCTGTCAATATCCTAAACCAAAGAAGAGCTTACTAATAAAGCTCCTGATAGTAGTTGCAGGTGTCCACTGACTTTGTAATTTAGGAAAGCGTCAACAGGGTCGTGGAGTTCGACCAACCGTCCATCAAATGAAAGTTTCACTTGAGCAGTTGTACAATGGTTTTTCGAAAAAGTTGAAGGTAGTTCTTCTCACATCATTGTGTAAAAATACCACCAGCATGTTTTGAATTGTTAATTTCAGATCGTATCGTTACCCTACACCCTACAAATATTTTGAAAGCAGAGAATCATTTTGTAGGTTACTAGAACGGTCATTTGTACTGACTGTGATGGACTTGGTGGACCAGCTGGTTCTGTGATGAAGTGTCCAGATTGTAAAGGACGTGGTGTGATAATCAAGTTGGTTTTACGGCTTATAGTCATTATTCCATCCAGCGGCTTTAAACATGTTTCCTAGGGTAATGCAGTTGGCCCCTGGAATGATTCAACAGGTCCAGTCTTCTTGCTCTGCTTGTAAAGGCAATGGTGAAATGATTCCGCCAAAGGATCGCTGCAAAGGGTGCCAAGGCAATAAAAAGGTTTCAAGACGTCCTATTAATTTTCATTTCGCTTTTTTGTTAGGCGTAGGTTTCGAAGTACTCATTGTCAGTTGTCAGTGTACTAACTTCATAATGATTTCTCGCTGAAGTTTATTAATTGGAAGAGATTGTGGCGTTTTTTTTCCCATTCGAATTTAACGTTTAATTTCAACTATTACATGAGGGCTACACAGGTCTTCCTCATAGAGGGATCTCTTGACGATTATTTGAGAGGTAACATAGCAACCGGACAGTGGGTTAATCGCGGACCAAGAACGACTTTACACTTCCCTAAGACAAGGGATCCATGAGATAGATTCCTTGTTTCTGGTGCTCTGATTTAACAAGCATCTTTTGTGTTTTCACAGATATATTCATGCATGCATGCGTGGGTGTGTTCTCGTTTGTGCAGGTTGTGTTCTATGAGTCAGTTGAACCAAAATCCAACAATAAAGTGACGGGGAACAACATGGGGAGGGGAGTTAAAGAGTCCTTCAGCAAATAACCTTCTACTCTGATAGAGACTAGAGAGCTACCCGTCGGTATACCCAACCCCCACGTTCAGAGCTCAGAAAGCTATACGTAGATACCGAACAGTAAAATAAACGGGTCTGATTTCCCTGACTTCGAAGGAACCCCGATGCGGCAGCGTTGGGTAGCACGAGTACGTAGAGCTAACTAGAATCTCAGAACCATTCTGAGCTGTCTAATTATCGAAGGACTAAGGAGACGATTTGTGCTTACAATGCACGCTCACTTGCATGTGAGTCTTCGATAGAGGACTTGATCACGCAGGTAAGTAACTTAGGATATGCCATTGCCGCGCTGTTTGAGACTAGAAGACGCCACCGATTTAATACCATCTACGCCATCGGAGAAGAAATTTTCCTCGGAACTTGCGTCAATGGAGAAGGCGTTCTCGTCAACACGAGTTTGTCTATGAGAATCGATTCATTCGAGCAATCAACAACTCTTATCGGACGTTTAGTTTTGAAGAAATGTGGATCAGTACCGGCTTCGACGTTTTTCACCGTCTGTGCATTAACATGACGCTATGATTATGAAAAAGTCGAGGCACTCTGTATGGGTTTAGAGAAGTTCTACGGAGGAGACAGTGCATTCTTTAAGGTGACCGTTGAGGAGTTTAATGCTAAGGTTGTACCCATAAGAACATTTGAAGACCGTCACAGTGGGACCCACGGATTAGAATGGAAAGAAGGGTGAACGGATGTCTTATTTTATCGTGACACCCAAGACCATCCATGGTAACTCGCAATTCCAGAAACTCCACCCTGAACGATGATGGTTACGTATGTTCCATTCACCCTGAATGTAATGAATATCTACGGATGCTCCAGTTATGTCTGTCTATGTCGAGAAATCAACATGTTGAAAGACTTAGCTCCAGGGTTGAGCAGGAAGAAGTGAACGGCTTGAGAAGCTTTCAAGAGAATTAAAGATGTAGTGAATAGAACAAAGAACATTCGTCTTCGTACCCACCTTTTTGACTCCACGGTTCTTCATGCCTTTAACGTACGCGTCAGACACCTAGTCACTGCGTAGGCGGGGTGAAAGGTGAGACTCAACGTTGTAGAACGCGCAGTCGAAAGGACGATGCTAGGAGTATCTCGTCTCACACAAATGAGAGACAGACTTCGAAGCTCCGATTTGTGTCAGCGATCACAAATCACGGAAGCCGTTCTTTACGCCAAACTGTTGAAGATAAGATGAGCCAGAGACGTAATGCATATGAACGACAACCGATGGACAAGATCTGTCAGTGTGTGGATCCATGAAGATGTCAAACGTTCTGTACATAGACCACCAACGCTATAGTCACAGCTATTCACGAAAATCCTAGAGAAAAGGTGTGATGTTCAACGAGTTCCCAAAGCGGGCGACCAACGGAGCGATAGATTATACAAACGACATAGGAGGTCTATGCCGTGACGATTTTTACCTAGTGAGAGAATATATGTAAGTCAGCACACTTATTGAAAAGTTATGAGGGCTCAACTGAATTGGAAAATATTTGGTAAAGTAGCAACATATCTAGAAGGTAGAAGGGATAAAGCTGTTGTTTTAATAGTTGTGAGGGGAATCTCTAATTGGAAAACTGTGGTTAACAGAAAGGTAACTTTGTGATAATAAAAAGCTCGGAGTGCCTTGAACGTTGTTTTCATGCTTTGCAATGTTGAGATTTGTGTATTTCAGCGAAAGGTTGAAGAAATTCTGGAGGTTCACGTTGAAAAAGGTATGAAAGATGGTGATAAAATTATGTTCGAAGGAAGAGGAGATGAAGATCACAACGTTCCACCCGGCGATATTGTCATCATTCTTGATGAGAAGGTCTTTTATGATTTATCTGTTATTTAAAAAAATGAAAGGTAATATTGTTCTGTAGGAAAAGTACGAAAGTAGAAGGTATTTTTTAGGAACACAACACTTTCTTCAGGAAAGATGATAATTTGGTGATGAACGTTGATATAGAGGTTAGTACTGTTCTCACTTAATACACATGTGGTAAACATTCACATTTCATATTTCGTTTGTATTTTCAGCTAGTTGAATCACTGTGCGGTTTCTCTCGCGTTATTAAAACGTTGGATGACAGGACTCTATTCTTTAATGTATTACCAGGTGTTTTCATTTCAGTCAAATTCTCTTCATCCATAATGCCAGAATGTCTGTGATATACTTCGTTTGCAGGTGAGGTTATCAAGCATGCTGATATGCGAGTTATTTATGGAGAAGGAATGCCACATCGGAGAAATCCTCAAGAAAAGGTTTGCTTAATCACTTGTCCAAGTTCTTCTTTTAATAAATATAATCGATGTCGGTTGCCCAATCAGGACTGTTGTTCCGAATATTTTACGTGAACTAGGCATTTGGTTTCCTCTTTCAATTATATTCTACACATTTTAGGTGGGCTCCTTACACTTTCCCTACTCTACCTTATTCACACGAAGGTGTTTCATATCCTTTTCTGCGTGCTTCGCTTCGTTTTTGTTGTGTAGCAAATTCCTTGTACTGAAGTGCGTTGCCCAAATTCAGACAATCACATTTTCCACGTAAAAATCACCAAGAAAAAAGTGAATTACCTTGGGTTATTTCTTATATCAAAATTTGTGAAGCAAATGGAATTACGTAATTATCTATAGCTTGATGTAGCCACATTCAGAACAGTTTCTTCGTTACGGTATTTCGGCGAAACATCGAACTTTATTTATTTGAATGTGTCGTTTTCTTGTTCAGCAATCGTGAGGTTTTTAAACAGCATACATTTACTTCCATAAAAAAAGCAATACAATACAACGCTAGCTGACGTTTCGGCAGTATCGCCTTCTTCAGGGCCTGGAAGGGTATACTGATATACAATCTACTAGGCCAAACGCTTCAATAACATTTAAAAAAAGACGAAAAACTCTATGGCAATTACATAATCAACAGCCTCTCGAAAAACTCACCGCTTTTTACGTGACTTCAATTGAGGAGGTTTAGAACAACTGATTATAGTTGCATGTGGTTGACGACTGCACCATCCCACATCAGAAATTGTTGCGAACATACGGGGTCAGGTCGTGTATGACCTCTAGGTATTCATCCCTCCTTGCTTGGATCAATTTCTGATGTGGGGTGGTGCAGTCATCAGCCATGTGCGACTATAATCAACTGTTCTAAACTTCCTCATTAGAAGTCACGTAAAAAGCGGTGAGTTTTTCGAGAGGTTGTTGATTATGTAATTGCCATAGGGTTTTTCGTCTTTTTGTAAGTGTTATTGAAGCGTTTGGCCTAGTAGATTGTATATCAGTTTACCCTTCCAGGCTCTGAAGAAGGCGATACTGCCGAAACGTCAGCTAGCGTTGTATTATATTGTGTTTTTTTTTATGGAAGTAAATGTATGCTGTTTAAAAACCTCGCGATTGCTGAACAAGAAGACGACACATATTCCAATGCCGAGGTTAATAGAAAGTCGATCCTGGCAACTATTTATTTGTTTCGTATTATTTCAACACTAATAACCTTCAAGGCTGTGTTCTAGGGTGACTTAATTCTCCAGTTCCGAGTAACATTCCCCGAAAAATTGTCAGCAGATTCCCGACGAACGCTTGCTGAAATCCTTCCTGGTAAAAGTGAGTTGACAAGAGGTAACGTTTTATTTGCAGTCTTTGGTTTCACCGTTTTATTTGCAGGCGAATGCTTGATTGGTGATGATGACGAAGTGTTTGAACTGGCAGAGATCGCAGTGAATCGGTACCGCCAAGAAGAAGACAATCACAGTCATCATGAGGGTGGAGTGCGTTGCCAGCACCAATAGTTTTTATTTATTTTCATTCCTCAGCTGAAATCCATCGCTATATTATCTTCGCTGCACTTCTTTCAACTCGTCATGGTGAATTGATTTCGAGGTAAAAAGTAGATATACCGGTTTTATTTTGTGCAACCTAAGGCCACCACCTGTTGCCACATGTTCTCGCTTCTCTAGGCAGTCGGTCCTATAGTTGTGATTATGGATTGGGTCTGCATGAAGTGGTATGTCATTGTTATGAGAGGATTTCTGCACTGCCCAGCAATTCTCTGTTTTCCCGTGTTATAAATGTTACTAGTATTCCTTGTCATTTGTAACTGTCAGAGCTTTTCTTATTGTTAATCCCTTTTAGTATGTTAAAGTAGTTCTGCAAACCAGTAGAGAAGCTGTATTCTTTGAACCGAACTAGGTTTTGTGTATGCCTCCTGATGTATCAGACCAGGCCTTATGCACCAGTGTTGTCTGCAAGTAATGAATGAGATAGGAAGTGTTATTGTTCCTTTATTTGTTCGGCATATTTCATTGGAATGAAGATGTTATATTTTAAAGATGTTCAGCAAGTGTGTGCTATTCGAATCAAGCTCTATTAAGACGTGAGTTGATTAAAAATCTGATTACATTAATGAATAGCGGAGGGAAAGATGTGAGTGCAAACAGCACCCAGAAGTTGCTTACTGGATGAGAGTCGATAATAAATTTCAACAAAAAAAGGCAACTAAGGGCATGACTAAATGATGAGAAGAGTGAGACCCCGAGTGAAGGCATTCTGATGAGAAGCAGAAGCAATTCGCTGACATCGAAGAACAGAAGAAGGGACAGCAGCACAACGAATTCCGCCTGTGAGTTCTCTCTGACGTCTTTTACACACAGAGGGTACGATGCCAACAAGAATGGCTCCTGTAGAATGGAATCTTCCAAATTGCACATGATAAACTTCGGAATCACAAACCTGGTTGAAGAACAAAACCGAAACTAGAACTAGATGTGCTAATAGACACAAGAAATATCCGGAGATTGTGTCAACCATGGTGGTAAGTTCATATTAGCCAATTGCAATCAACGATCTTTCGTGGTGTAGCTATGGAAACGGCAATTGCGCAAAGATATTGTGCTCCATGGCAAACGGATTTAGATCTGCATACTCACCGACTACCGTAACCCTTGTGAATATTTTGGGTTCGCATTGTTATTCGTTTAATGTAGGTTGAGAATTAGCTTCATTTATGTCGGCCTTTTATTTACGGCGTTTTGGAATTTTTTAAGGCAGAGTATTATGTACGATACATCCACAATGGACCCGCATGGCGTGGTGGTTAACCCACGGAAAGTGTAGTAGCGTGTTTGTTCCCCACCGTAGACATTTACGGTGCAGAGTTTTCCAAATATTTTACGATCATTGTGGTTGTACCTTCATTTAGCTGTAGGTAAGCTAGTGCTGAGAGCGGCCAAGGCAGAAGTTGACATTTGTGTTGTTAAGAAATTCTTCTTTCTATTTCTGTCGAAGGGAAGGGAGTTGGTGTTTCTGTAGTCATTTTCAAGGACCTCAGTTGTGTTGCTTAGCCGCTTACGCATTCGACTTGTGAAATTTGTAAGATTTATTGTCTCGTCGTCATTGGTTCTGTTTATTTGTTTCAGTCTGAACGTTTTTATGTGTTTCTATTCACAGAAGATATGACGACGAAACGACGGAACCATGGAAGAAACAAGAAGAACCGGGGACGTTGTACATTCATTCGCTGCACGAATTGTGGCCGTTGTTGTCCGAAGGACAAAGCCATTAAGAAGTTCGTTGTGAGGAATATTGTAGAGGCCGCTGCTGTTCGTGACATTGGAGAGGCTTCTGCATACATGCGTAAGTTACTGGCTTCACTACTTCTTTTCTCTTGCTAAAACGGTTAATTTCCGTGTTTTTGGATCTTGCGTATGTCCATAGTTCACCACAGGGTGGTAATCTAATTAAGCACTAGTCGTCGCTGGTATGGTAATACACCGTCATCCAGTATGAATAGCAGTCCCTTTATATAGGTGTTCCTTCTAATAACCAGGTAGAACATTGTAATAGCAACTGTTATTGAGGATGATGACAAGCAGTGTTTGGAAGATGCCTTCACTGTGTTGTTTGCAATACAACTTCATTATTATCAGCACTAGGAGCTGATGGTGCAAAGGTAGTCATGCCGATAATCACGAGTATGGCTCTTGTTCGATACCCATCAACTCCCTCATCCCTCTGAGGTCGAGAAAGTCGTATTAAACTAGGCTGTCACTGGAGTCTAAGGTGAATCGACTCGACCAGTATTGAGTGACATCCTTGACAAAAGGGAAATCCTCAAACAGCAGTACCCACGCAGGAAGAAATCCGAAAACCTTTATGGATGATGGATTTATGGAAACAAATTGAATGAAGAACTGCTAGGATCTGTATCATAGTTGTCAAAGAGCGGTCACGTGAAATAATAAGTAGTTATCAGCGTTATATCTGGCGCGAAACCTAGCACTGCAATACAAATGCACACATTCATACTAGTAGGGCTGTATGAGCTTTGATGGAATCTAATTTATAATACTACGTTAGGAGTTGTTTTGGTTAGTTTTGCAGTGTCTTTTTTTTCCAAATCAAACGCTATATTCCATACTTACATTAGTGATGCTATCTTGTTGTGGTATTTGTGGTGCTTGGTTTTTTTTTCTGGTTAAACTAGGTAACGAGGACTAAAGTTCTCACCAAATTTACTACTTTTCGTGTAGAAAGGCTCGCTAGTACTTAATAACACAAATGCGAATATGCCAACTTTTAGCAACTCTCTGCGTGCTTTGAAAATCTGTCGGAAAACGGACTTTTCTTGTAAATTATTAGATGTAGAGAATAACTTTTCACTCATTGATTTTGTCACGCTCGTGGGACGGCACATTATGGACAATGTGCATCGGTTTCAGTGTGCGTCTCCTTACAAGCTGTTACTTCCGCTGCGTGGAGGTTCTTTGTCATACTTCTTGTATTCAGTCGGTAGCTTCTCCATCATCTACCGTGTTAGGCTTAATATGGTTTAATCTATTTTCTGTAGGCTTTCGTTGATGAGGACGGTTCTATAATGTGATCGCTGTCGTGGATATTACAAGTGATGTGGTTATGAAAGTGTCACTGTTGCACAAACACGATCGCATGCGTTCTCTGGCGATTCGTTGAGTTTCATACCAAATAGGTACCCAAAGGCTGCTGCCAGTAAAAAAGAAACGTGCCTGTTATTTTTTGAATACGGTAGGGCCAATCGTGGGCTTTGAAATTAATACAAACGTGCTCGACGAAGAATTAGACGTCGTCCCATGTAAAGGACACCGAAAATTAAAAGCAATCACGAATGTATTAATGAGGTTTATTCTTCGACTAATTCCATATTGGGCAGAGTGCCTTTAAGTTATGTAGGGTAGAGATAGAAGGGGTTTGTTAAGTATTAGATCGTGATAAAAAGTAGTGGATTAAGTAGGTTATCTTAGCTACTTTTATGGTCATTTTTGTTAAACTACCTTTGTTGCTGTTCAAATGTTATTCAGACAAATTGTATGAACATGTATTAACCGAAAACTTATGCGTTTTATCTCGCTTATTTGGGCTCTCTGAATAGGATATAGTAATCACTTTCCTGATAACGCCAATAAAGCACAGAGAAAGGTGAAGCGAAGAACACATATGGTGCAGTGGTGAACACGTTAGCTCCCGGAAAGTGTGATAACGAGGTTACTCTTTCCGATTGCAGACACAGTGTCTGGAGTTTTGCAAATATCTCAGCACCGTTATGCGGTGTAGTATCGTTTTCGCTTTTTATATAGGAAAGACTTGTTATTATTGTATAATTTTGTTATAGAATGGGACAGTTTCAGCTCAATCGAAATGTCTTTTACTTTTCTCTTTTAGAGTATGCTCTGCCGAAACTTTACCACAAATTGCACTACTGCGTCGCCTGTGCTATACACAGTAAGGTGGTCCGTAACAGATCTCGAGATGCTCGTAAGGACCGCAACCCTCCTCCACGCTTTGGTCAACGCAATGCTCAAGCACGTCCTGGAGTTCCCGGTTCACGTCCGTGAACGTTCGTTTTATTGTTGTTGTTCACAGTAAATCTTATGTTAAATGTCGTGACATCTGTCAAGAGCAATAAGATCAGTTGGGAGTGGTACGTTCGTTTCTTAAGTGGCCTAATCGATTCAGCTGATCTAGCCTGTAAAATGCCTTCCATTAGTCCGCTGATGAATCATGAATCATCGTGTTTCATCGTTCCAAACGGTTTTACTAATTTACAGATCTCAAAGAGATGGAAGGCTTCGTAGGTTCGAGACACGGAACCGAACTAGGCAAGAGAATCAGATGCACAGCAGAAGAAACGCATCTGTAAATTATATGTAGCCAATCAAGTGTGTTGTGGAATTAGTATTATATAGTGACTTATGATTGAGCAGCATAAAAAAGGCTAGTTTGTAAAACTTCAGTGGGATTGGGCTGTTGTTTTAACAGTAACTTTCCGTGGTAAATGTTCACTAGTCTTAGAATGGTCCTCGGCGAAAGGCCACCTTAATTTGCCGTTATTAGGTGCAAAAGTAGTATCGAGTAGAAGTTCTCAACGCTATGCACCATTTTACCATCTTGCGACTACGATGTTAACGGTTATGACATGGTAAATCTAGGTTGATTGTGTCCGATGTAAACTCATTTGCAAAAGTTTGTTAGAGCGAGGTGAAAACAACGGATATATGAAACTTCATTCCAATACATACGGAGCGAAAACAGTGGCCACGTTCAAATTTACATCAACATGGGCACAATTTTGTCTTTTCTACTGTAGGTTCTGATTTCTCGTAGCGAGCGCTTCTATCGTGATTAGCAGAACGATCGGGCAAGTTGCACGTTGTAATGCAGGACACCCTGATTACCTCAAGTTCATCGTTGAGGCTTGTACGCTAGCGTCGGAGGTTGTAGCAATCTGAGCTGCATTTTCCACTAATTGATAAGTTCAATTCTGTATAACTTTGAAAATGGAAAATATTTTGCATGGATTATGCATAACTTTAGGAGGTGTAACCACGTCTCTTGTATAGGTCTGTGATGTTCTCAACTCGACTATAGTGATTGGGATATGACCAGTTGCTGAAAAAACCAATTAGCCCGGTAATGGGTTTACGTAGAAAGGCGAACTACTCAATCTGCCATTGTAATGGATGCTTCATGTGCTGCAAAATTATCATGCTTATAAAAGTAAATTGTTTTCATATTCGGTAGGATGTATTTCGTCGTCGAATGATAGCTGGAACGGAATTGAAAGCTGGAGTGTACATCCGGGCATCGGACGTGTTTCTTTGGCCTTAGTGGGTCAAACGCCTCAGCACTGCATCTCACGGGAGCGGTCACAGTGCCATGAATGTGTATCGGGCTTCATTTCGCGTGTTTATATCTATGTCTATACGCCCTGGTTTATTAGAAATGGTTATCCTTTACTGTTCATTGATTCGTAGTCGGATTTCTTAGGATGCGTTAGCACATTTCAACACATTAACGACAATAGTATTAGATTCCATGCATGAGTTTCAAAAACGAGGTTGTCATTCACCATCTCAAGGTCCCAGCTCACGAAGAATTTGCTTTGGTGAGATGAAAACCACTACTATCTACACATTTTTATAATCGAGAAAGAAGCTCGTTGATTCTACGACGATGAAATCCTAATTTTCTGCAACTTGTTCTTATACGCTGCTTTTCATTGAAGTTTTTGTCTATATCGCTTCCAATGGAGCGATTGACCAAGAAGCATTTCGACTAGCAGGACTCGATGGTGGTCACGATAGTGTTGATTACAGAGGCTATCGTGCTTGCTTTCATGATTTTAGATTTTTTGCTTTGTCGATTGTACTAATATGTATCAATATTTTTGAAGAATAAAGTGTTGGACGCGTGTGGCACAGTGATCGGAGGCGCCGTGCAATACATATGGGATCGATCCTTGTGCCCTAGGCTCGCCCACTGGCTCGATACATCGATAGCCCACCGCGAGTCATTAGAAAGGCCAGATATGCATTAAATCACCTCTAACGATGATCATTGAAGTCGAATACATGGTGTATCTCTCAGGGATTGGTCAACGCCGAGACCTTTATCCTTTATTTAAAGTGTTCTACATCGTTAAGTTCTTTATGCATATGCTATGTGTTCGACACCACTTGGCAAACGTAGAGGTAATTCAATGCAGATTTGACGTATACGATGATTTACGGGTGCCTAATGATGTAAATATCGACATACGTAATTTTAGAGATCAACGGCGAGGTCTTTTTTCCGCTCTTAGCAATACGGTTGTTTTGGTTATTAGAAACTAAGACGAATGCATTGTCTTGAAGGAAATTCCTATTCTCATGGGCAACATCTCTAGTAAAAGCTTATCAGATCCTTTGGTGCTTAAGTATTGTATTTGCCGGAAAATTGTTGCCAGTTACCACAAAATCAACATAGTCGCGACTGCAGACCGTAACACATTTGCTGAGACCAGAGCTTTGTAGGACTCATTTACAATAAGGCAATGTGGTTGGTGTAAAACTTATAGAAGTTTATTTCTTTCCGATGCTTCGTTTCAGCACACAAAAATTTTTTACACATTTTTTTAATCGATTGGTAGCTGAGCCAGTGTAGATGCTATACCAAAAACTCATTGAGGGAAAAGTGTCCCTTTAATAATTTCTCTCTTAGTAGTTCATAAAAAACGCTTTTTCAACACTGTCGCGGCGAATGCTACCTATAAGAGTCATAATTGCTTTGACGAGTAGCCACTAACACCTGTATAGAGTGATTGTCTCCTCGGTGGTTTATTTTGGCGCACTGAAGTTTTTTTTCCATGCTTCTTGTAATCAAACGCTAAAGATCAGAATAAGTGTGCCTGATTTTCCTGATCCCGAAGAAGCCCTCCATACGGTAGCGTGGGCTAGCGCAAGTACGGAGAGACAACAGTAGCTGACGTTTCGGCAGTATCGCCTTCTTCAAAGTCTGGAAAGGTGCACTGATATACAATCTACTAGGCCAAATGTTTCAATAACATTTTTTTATTATTCGGTGGAAAAGAAGGTTAAAGTATTAATGAGGATCAAACTTTCAAATAGATGCTATATTGAACAGAAAGGCCACTCACCGTGATGTTACCTGTGGGACTGGTCCACACGTAGTCCACGTGGGGTCGCGAGCAAGACACACCCCGAGGTCAAAGTATCATTTTGAAATAGGGCGCTAGGTCACGCGTGATAGCGAGGCATTTGTCTTTCCGGTTCATCTTTGGATTTTGAAATTTATCCAAAACGCCTCAAGAGTTTTGCGCGTTGACGTTTTTGATTCCTGTGGTAGGATCCGCACAGTCATTTCAAAATCATCGCCGTTGTGCTTTTGTGCCCTATGCGTACCTTTGTTTAAACGGATTTTAGCTTTTCCATCTAGATGTTCTTTTATGCGGACACAAAGTGGTCTACCCATTTCCCCGATATATTCCTCGCCGCATGCATTACATGAGATCAAGTATATTATACCTAAACTCATTCAATCTCCGTCTCTCCCGTTAGGACAGATCAAGTTCACCCGAGAAAAGACGAAAGAAAAATGGCTTCCATTTTTGAACGTACAAATTCACCTATCAGAAAATGACTACATTACAAAGTGGTACCGAAAGCCAAGTAGTAAAAGCATCTTGGTTCATTACCTCTCCTCTCACCCCTCTCACACGAAAAGGGCGCTTATAAGGAACAGCAGAACAGCAACCAACGTGTGCACGGGAAGAGCGCAGAGAGAGGAGTCCCGGAACTTGGCACGGCAAATAGCCATTTCTAATGGCTACGAAACTGTAGCTCAGGATAGGTGTAGAGGAAATCGTAGGCCTCCAAACGACAACTCTAGCGATAGAAGGGACCCGTTTATCCTACTCTTCATCTCAAATGATATAAGTACAGCTATAAAACGCTGCTTAAGAAGGGCGGGCTTAGAGAATTCGGTGAGCGTAGTTGAAATACCACCGAGTAATCTAAGACGCCAGATAGTTCGTAACCGCCTATATGACCGTCTATGTGCAACTCAAAATTGCATAATTTGCCCCAGTGGTAGAGACGGTAATTGCATGAGCTCGGGTATAGTTTATCTGATCTCCTGCAAGACGTGTGGTGACGAATACATTGGCGAAACGGGTAGACCCCTCTGTGCCCGCATGAAAGAACACCTAGCCGGCAAAAATAGACCAAATACCCCGCTAGGCACGCATAGGACCCAGAGACATAACGGGGACGACTTCGAAGTATGTGTCACGATCCTCGCACGCGAATCAAGAACACAGGCGCGAAAAACTCTCGAGGCACTCTGGATTAATTCCAGAAATCCGAAAATGAGCCGCAGGGAAGAATGCCTCATTATCACGCGTGATATAGGGCAGTATATAAAACTGCTTTTCTGATATGAGGGGCACATTATACTTCCATGTGATTTCTGTGCGGTTGGTCTCTACGTGACATACTTAGTGGAAACCTCATAGGAAGCGGTGAGTGTGCAAAGCTGTGTTCAAAGTGATTGAAATCTTGGCTTAGATTTTCTTTGTTTGGTTATGGAGGCGTCTGGCCGAGTAGATTGCTGTCAACTTGACCTTTCCAGGCTCTGAGGAAGGCGAAATCCGCCGAAACGTCAGCTTAATCGTGAACAAAGAATAATAACACCTCGCGTTTGCTCGACAAAAATACCAAGAAAATTACTTGATCAATGCCGAGGTTAATAGAAAGTCGGTCGTGGCAGTTACAGATCATACAGTTTTCTGAGCTGCACAAACGATCATAGAGACGGTTTCGAACTAACTGACCGCGTAGGGTATTGGTTCCCGCGCGTTCCTTGTTAAAATTGGGTCCGAGTTTTGCACCTAGTCAACCCATTTCTAAACCAATCCTGCGCAGGATCACGTGTAGTCTACATGAACTTCAAGATCAGCTACGTTACATGGTTAGGCTAGAAAGGTTAGGTAAAGTAGTATCAAGGACGGAACTACCACCAATACCCTTTCCCCGAACTTTCTTTAAACAAGAGCTAC